GCGGGGAGACATTTACAAAATCAGGAAATGACTGGTGCAATCAGGCCAGCGCTGCGTTTTGAAATGAAATGCAAGGGAATTTATTGTGACAAGATCAGTCTTTTGCTCATTTCGGAAATGAGGGTTTGGAAGAGCAGCAAACATTACAGACAGTCCTGCCCCTGAGGTAATGGGTATGATGAAGGGAGAGAGAGAGAGAGAGAAAGAGAGAGAGAGTGAATCTCGGGTCATGATTTTCATCCAGAGGCGCAGAGCGAACTGAATATTCAGATGTGTAACTCGCGAGCGAACATTGTGCTGCTGTTTAAATGGTTAAAAGTGCATTTGCAACACGCTGTCTGGTTCTCAGGTTGCTTGCTCTAAACTGGAGAAATAGAATTACTAATAATAATAACCTCTTGCGTTTGATGTACCACTTTATCACGTTGCCAATACGTCTCAAACCGCTTCACTGTTAAGTGTACTGACTATATTTGTGGGTGAGCCCAATAGATACCCAAGTGAAACAGTCCAAAGGAAGTCAGCTCCTAAATTCCTCCTGAAGGCTACTCAGAATTATGGAACTGCGTCTCGAATCTCTGGAGCTCCCTGCCTGAATTCCTACCCCTTGCCCCCTCTTCTCCCACCCCCCATCTTCAGATCAGACCTGAAGACTTTCCCCTTTGACTGCAGGCAATGGTGGTCTCCCCTTTCTCCCCGGCTCGGTCTCAAACTACGCCATTTGTAAGTGTTCTGGTGGAAAAGACTTGTGTGTTAATCAGTTTTAATTTGGAAGGTGATTTTCCTCCCTTTACAGAAAGTAAATGCTTCTAAATTATGATTATGAATTTCTGAATTTTGCACAATTCTTGTCAAATAAAATAGCATTGCTAATTTAGCCTCACTAACATTTTGGGTGGGCCTTCTGTATGTATTCTATTATATGCATGATGAATCTGTAAGATAGAATCGGGGCATATTAAAATCCGTTAATCATTGCTGATACAATTGCAGAGGATACTTTCGGGCGCTGTTACTCTACTCCACCCAAACAGCGTTCCTTCAGTCTTAAAATCTCCTTACAATGCATGAAACTCGCACACCCTTCTCTGCTGCAGACACAACTTACTTCAGCCGTGATTCATGGAGAGAGAACAAATGCTTAAAAGGGCAAAGAGTTGGTTTTTGAAACTCATTATGCTGCCTGATTGAGGCATCGCTCTTTATGCCTCAGTTGTGTACGGCAGGCGGTAAGTACTTGGAATGTGGTTGGATACAAGCAGAGAAGAAATTTGTTATTTTTTATTCTACCCTGCGGGCAAATTCTAATGTCGTGCTGTGTTCAGAAGTATAACTTGTTCAAGCCACTCGTGTCCGGGTTTTGGAACTCGAAGTTTGTCTCGCATTTCCAGTGCAGTGCTGGGGGGCACGAAGCATTGTGGTAAGGTGCCATCCCTCTGGTGAGATAAACCGAGGTCACCTCTGCCCGTTCAGGTGAACGTTAAAGATCCCACGGTACTCTTCGAAAAGAGAAGGGAGTTCCTCTCCCTCGTGTTCTGGCCGACAATCCCCCAAATAAAATTGGTCATTCGCCTCCCAGTCTCTTTGTGGGACATTACTCTGGGCAGAAATGGCTGCCGCCGCACTTTAGAAGAAGTATTGTGAGGTGCTTTGAGATGTTTTTGACGGCATGAGTAGCCCCCGCATTAAAGGCTAGCATTATGGTTTTTATGATTTCTTTCCCCAATTTATTGGAACAGCATGAGTGTTCTGCGAGAGGCTACATTCTGGAGGTGGACTGTCTATCGATCTGATAGCTGCTGATCTGATTTATTGGGTTTGCTTACCCAGGATTGCTGAGCAGTATCACACGATCACAGTCCACCAGCAATGGCTATCGTTTGCATCAGAGTGATGTTCCGGGCTTTTTGCGTTCCCAGTTTGAGAAGGTTGCTTGACGATTTACTTTATTTTTCTTCAGGAAATATTACGTAAGTTACATTAAAGTGCTTTGGCTCAAGGCTATAATGTAAAAGGAGGCATTTGAGAGTTGCTTATCGCTTTGGATTGTAACAATTACACTGTCGTGCCTTTTTTTCCCTCATTCCCCTATTTCTGTAATAAAAGTGCATACCTCGGTATTCCCTTATCAGTCAGTCATCTTGTTATGTACCACAGCACTACAAAATGTCTCACTGGCCCGACTAACACTAACCCCGCACAGGAATAGAGCATAAAACTAAGGCAATAATGTTACGTTTATATAAACTCTTGTTTTTTGGTCACATTTGGAGTGTTGTGTGCAGTTCTGGTCTCAGTATTAAAGGAAAGATATCTTGGCATTGGAGAGGGTAGAGCATAGGTTTATGTAAGGATGTTCCCAGGGATGAGTGGATCCAGCTGTCGAGGAAGTTTGGGCAGGTTGGAGTTTTTCTCTCTGGAGTTGAGGCAATCGAGAGGGAACTCGATAAACAGCAACAAACAACAATAAATTACATTTGGATAGCGCCTTTCACATCAGGAGGACGTCCCAAAAGACTGTGAAGGGGTGGACGTTCATAGTTTGTTTCCACCAAGTCCAAAATGAAGTGCCAACAATACAGGATAGCCGGCAGCAGATCTAAACGGGAGTTTAGGAAGAACCCCTTCATACAGAGGACACAGAGAATATGTTACTCATTGCTGGAGCTGTGGTCGAAGCAAACAGCATGAATGTGTTTCAGAGTAAATCGAGTAAAATGTTAGAAAGAAGGGAACAGAGGTGTGCAGGAGAGGGGAATGGGAGGGGTGCGGGCTGAGTGAAGTATAACAACAGACGACAACAAATTATATTTGTATAGCGCCTTTCACGTCAGCAGGACTAGTTGGACCGAATGGGCTGTCGCCGCGTCGTCTCACTCCGTGTAACTCCGTGCAAATAAAAGGATCCCTTTAGGAGAGGACAACTTACCACGACTGCTCCATTTTATTTGTTCTCTGCGTGACAGTTGCTTTGGGAGATGCACACTCCCCTTGAGGAATGTCACGGGGTATAAAATCATTCTGAAATACGCCTGTAGCTGTCAGACATTGAGTAATAATTCACTCGAGTGCAATGAATGCTGTTTGAATTGTCGTGTCGTTTTTTTTTTGAAGTTTTTTTTTCACTTGAGCAAATTTCGCTTGCTCGAACCCAGAGAATGTAACATCCGTTCACTCCTATGGAATAAATCACCGTGTTCATGAATAAGAAAAACCGAGGAGGATAACCTTTGCTCTTGCTCTTTTATACTTTCTATTATGAATTTGATGCTAGCAGAAATAGCAATAGCACTCAGCATAGTTATAGCAAGCAACGATGCTGCGGTTAGCATTGTCTATGGCATAATGGGGAGGGGGCAGGGAGCCTTAGCGCTGTATGTTTTTTTTTAATTAGCTCAATGTTTCTCCGTTGCAAACTAAGACATGCTAAGTACAGCGCTGCAATTATTAGTAAATCCAGCAGTTTGAGTGGTGCTCCTTCAAAGCAGCATTCATGAGCAATCCAAGGCCATCGACTCCACTTAAAGGAATTATACTCTACTCAAATCAAAGAAAGGACTTGCATTTTTATCACACCTTACTATGTCGGAACGTTTCAAAGCACTTCACCTAAAATTAACCTGTAAGACACAGCATCCAGTTTTAAAACAGTCTCAAACCGCTACTTTCAGTATGAAAGGTGCACATTTAATTATTATCAAACACCTGGGAAATCGCTTGCACATTTAGATGCTTAAATCTGGGATTATTTCCTTCCTTGGCAGCAATGAGAAATGCTGTGATAAAAACTGTTGAGCAACTGTTGCATTAGGAATGTCACCATTTTACTGGCTATTCGTTGACTTTTGCTTTGAAAGGTGTGGTCCACAATTGTCAGGACTTCTACAGGTGTCTCTCTGCAGAAGATGGCCCTTCTCATCATGGAACACTCAGATCAGTTTGCTCCGATCAGAATTGGAAGCCAATTTCTCGGTCCTGATGGAGTGACCAGACACACACCTCTTGTGATGAAAGACGTGAGCACACACTGTTATGATTAGTGTGGGAGATTGACTTTGACTTTGTGTCAATTTGATAAACCGTTCTAATTTCTAAATTCAACTCCTCTGCTGCTGCAGGAACACTTCCTTAAACCCTGTAAAATCCTGAAACTGGCGATTTTGTTTTCTCAAGCACAGATAATAACTTCCAGTTAGCCTTAAGGGAAGGGTCACGGCATTTGCTCTGCTATACAGTAGTGGGTGAAGTTCTTGTTTGCTCGCTCAGCAGGTAAGAAAGCTGGTAGTTTCATCCGTTTCCAGCCTCTTGCTCCATGGCTAAATTTAAAGCGTAGTGTTTGATCAACGCATTGACATAGTGAGAAAAAGTACACAGTCTGTCTTAAACCAATAGTTTTATTCACATGACATAATTAGTAATTATCGATCTGTTTCACCTATTTTGTGGTATGAATAATTTTCTCATCGTAGCGTTTAGTGTCAACCGGAGTGTAGTATTTCAACATTTGCAAATGATTGGCAAATGGCTTCACATATAAAAGAGGACCTATCGCTGTCACTCACTGGCGTGAATGAGGAATGCGCTTCTCATTTTCAATTCCATTTACCGTTGTGACCTGACCTGCACCAATTTCTGATCACAAGAAGCTTCTCCAAAGAGAGAAGCAAATATAGAAATAAAAACCGTCTGGGAAAATACTATCGCCGCTTCAAAGTGCTACCCTGTCATTGAATTTTCCAAAGCAATACGTAGGAAACCCGTTGTAGCACCTTTTGCCTAGCCCTTTTGCTCCGAGCTGCCGTGGATCGGAATGAGGTAACGATTTGGCAGCTTCCTGTGCTAAAAACATGAAACGTGGCAGCCAATTGCGCACAGCAGTATCCCAATAATAAGGAATTTATTACCCCTGGAAAAGCGATCCACCAATCGACTAACAACCGGGTTCCTGCTTTCTGCTAGATAAACAGAGGCGTGTGGAGCAAAGAAACTCGCCCAACATTTCGCCCTTGCCAGGAATTGAACCCAGGTCTCTCGCTTTTGAGGCGAGTGCTCTAACCGCTGAGCTACAGGACTCCAGAATTGTTTACAGAATTGTCCAAACTATGGTAGAATCTAGCGCTGTATGAACCTGATTGTCTTTTCTCTTCTTTTGAAGTGTAAGTAAGTCATGGGGATGTTGTGGTTACCTATCCAACTATTGCTTTCCATTTGTAGAATTTGCTAATGCATAAAAATGCCTTGCTGTTTCCACTATTTCCATATTATAAGGTGCTTTGCTCTGCGCTAATCTCATGTAAATAGTACAGTTCCATCAACAAGAAAAACTAATATAGAGAAGATTAGCATCTTTGGATTTCAATATTGCTTTCACTTTCATTGGGATTTGAGCTGGTGATAATACAACAGTAACTCAAATGGCCTCCGCATTAGGGGGAATATGATGTCTTTGGATTTTCATTCAGCTAAAAATCCCAGGTTACCATGTGTTACAGAAATAAATGATTGCTAGTTTATCTTCCTGTTTGCCTGACTTTTACTGCCTTTGTACATTAGCTTGTGTTCAATCTAATTATCTGCCCCTTAAATCTATACACCCACTCATTCACCCATTCATTCAATGCATTGCTTATTTATTCCCTTCAAAGCAGACAGAGATTTTCCAATGCCTTATTAACGAACAGACGGTCACGTTTACTTTCTTAGTCTCTTGCTTCACCCCAAAAATGACTTTCCACCCAGAACAGTTTAAAACTTTTCCAGAGATCTTCCGGAGATCTTTAGATTAGTGATCTAATTGCTTTTGACAGCTATTCATTGTTCTTCGTAATGTGTTTTTCTTCTGCCTTCAAACAGACATCACAAGAAACATTACTTTGAAATAACTTACCTGGGTTAAGAACAGAAAGATCTGACCTGATAATAACAAAAAAGTCTTTGTTCAGAGACAAAAAACAGCATTTTGTATTTAATTATTTTTCTCAGTTGCATGGTGAAAGCTTTTCCCGTCCGTCAGACACCCATGCAGCTGACCAACAAAAACTATTGCCAAACTGGTGAGAAAGCTACAGCCTTAAGGCGTTTGTTATGTAAGTGTTACTTGGAGAATGTGGCTTGGCATCTCTCGTGTGCAGATGTGTAAACGAGATGGCATTACACACAAGCCAAGTAGGGATCAAATTCAAAGGAGCAACTCCGAAGCATTAACATTATTAACTCCTTCTGAAGCCAGGTGAGCTGAAGTGAGTTTCATTTCTCTGGAGGAAATAAAACCTATCTGCCATTAACTCAGCTCAGATCCAGCAAACCTCTCGATTTGAGCTCAAATCGAACAACATTCAGGATGAGATGCAAACAGTTTTAAACCCGCAAAGCGTATTCATTCCTCATTCTGGTTGATTATTTCTGTAATGCTTATGCCATTATTTCAGTGCTATAAATCTTCAGAAGTCTGTTGGTGTGTCATTACATTAGGTTCGTACTACGCACTATAAACAGCCAGATAAAATCCTTATTAAAGACTACTTGCTGAGTCTGGGAGATTATGTAATAAAATCCGAGTACAAAACTGGCCTTATCTTTCATTTGCTGCAAGTTAAGGAGATAGATGGCGAGAATGTACTGGAGCAATTTAAACCTTCTATTCTGTTGCTGGTGCCAACAAAAGGCATTTGTTTCTATAATAATGGGACAAACAAAATACCAGCAGGAGTTTCTTGCATTAGAATCATAGAATCATAGAATATTGCAGCACAGAAGGTGGCCATTTGGCTCACTGTGCCTGTGCCGGCTCTTTGGAAGAGCTGCCCAATCAGTCCCACTCCCCCGCTCTTTCCCCATCGCCCTGCAAAGCGCAATCAGATAGAATACGGAAAGGAAGTTTTTTTTTTAAAAAAAGATAAATCGTAAAAATAGAAAAACAAATAAGTAAGACAATGCTGTATTTGTATAGATGCCAGAGGTTAGGGTTTAGATCGGCATGGCCAGCCTTTTGGGCATAAATCAAGAAATATTCAATCAAGAAACATTTATTTTGTTGGCGAACGTAATAAATAAATGTTTGTGGGCGAAGGCAACAGCCAATTTGCGCACAGCAATGAGCCACATACAGCCATGGAATCAATGACCAATTTTATTTGGGGGATTGTTGGCCACTGGGAGACACCTCTGACAACCCAACACAACATTGGGGTGTCAACCTAGACAAGGTGAATTCAAGCCTCGACGTGAAGTTTGAACCCAGAACTATCTGACTCAGCACTGCGCGTTCTCCTTTAATTCACAAACCTCTTCAAATCTGCCCTGGAAAGATTGCAATACCATCAGAAAATGGCATCCAAAATTAGCCATTCAATAACTGAAGCCTATCATTTCTAATCATTCCAGCTCAAACTCCCCAAATCTCTCGAGTTATTACAGACAATTGCGGCTCTGGTTATTGCTCTCACATTGGGGGAAAGAAAAACCTGCTCTGTAACCTGATGAACCGACTCCTTATTTAAATATATTTCAATATATAGTGCATTAACATACAGGAGTACAATTATGTCTGAGTTACCCCTTGGTTTCATTGACGAGGGCACTGCTGGCTCAAGGTGAATGCCAATGAATTTTAAACTGATGAATTAGCATAAAGATAATGTTTTGAAAATGGAGACTTTCCATGCTAACGGGTATTCTTGCTCCAATTCTATTCATTTGTAATGTTCGTCAAACATTAATGTACCTTGAAGCCTCTTAAATTCGTTACTGAACTCGCTTCTCAATCTTGAAACCTAAGCAGATGCACAAGCAGAGATTGAACCTCCGGTGGCTCTCAGTCCACTCCAGTTTACACCCTAAAGACCAGATTGGAAGCAGATTCGATAATAACTTTCAAGAAACAAGTGAATAGATATTTGGGGAGGACAAATTTGCAAGGCTGTGGGGAGAGCACAGGGAAGTGAGATTGACTTGGTTAGCGATTCAAAGAGCCGGCAAGAGCACGAGAGGCCGAATGGCCTCCTTCTGTGCTGTGTATGATTCTATGTTTACTAGGAATCCCCAGATCCAATCTATGCCACAAAACCCCAGGGGTTAGACACATGTGTCCAGCACATTCAAGTTCTAACATTGGATCCAGCACTTGTGCAGACAAAGCTGGCTTTAATCTTTCCATGCAAAAAGCATTCAACGAGCCATCAATTTAAAAATAATTCGCACTCACATTTTATAAATACCCGCTCCACAGTATTGACTGTATTTTTCTACCAAGTGAACTATTTGTAAGACCAACACAACTCCCAGCTGGTTTATTATCAATATTTGGGTCACTATTTGGTGCAAGTTTTTACTGTAGACTCAGGATAAAAATATACATTTTTGGATGTGCCTTGACAAGCAGATATTGTGGGGAATATGAATTAATGAACCTCCTTAAAACCCGAGGCTGGATTCTTCAATGAAAATATACGAATGCTAGCACGTACGTCATGGATCTCCACTGCGTGAAAATACAAAGCAAAATCTTCATAGAACAGATTGAAGTTGTTTTTTTCGAAGAGCTTGAACGATAAGGTTATTTTTAAAACAATCAGAAAACATCTGGAAAGGTAAACAGAGCGCAATCTCACATTGCGGTTTGCGTCAGTCCAGAGCCCCCCATTTGCGTTTAGAAAGAAAAACTCTTCAGAACTCTTTAGGATTATTTTCAATAGCAATGAAATAAATAATGTACAGACAATTTACATTGAGATTGCCCTCTGTTTAATTTCACCACTTTCAAGGGTGCTTTGACCTGCTTTGGCTAATTGGAGGTTCTGAGTGTCTGTGGGCTTTACTTTTGGTGTTTCTGATCATTTCTTCCTGTAAGAATATCCTTTCATTTTTGTGAACATGTGCATCCATTTCTTTGTTCAGAAAGTGTCTGACGTGTCTTACTGTAAAGAACACCTGAGTGAGTATACCTGAGCTGTGTAATTAACACACACCATCTGCTCCATCTTTAAATTGCAAAGGCCCCTTAAGCTTAGAAAGTATCTGTACACTGTAGTTCTAAGATTGCTTTTGGCAGTAGAGTATATTGTACAGATGAGAACAGCATGCACCATGTTCCTACATCCTTAACAATTAATCTTTCAGGATCTAACATTTTTTGTAAAACATATATTTGGTGACGTGTCTTGTATCCTGAAACCCTGCAAACCACTGTAGCGCTTTTTAAACTGCCAAGTAGTTGCTAGGAATCCCTTTTTTATATTTTGTTGTTCAAATTAATCCCTCTGATTGACAGGTAGAGGTGTTTGATCCAACTCACTGGGTGTCTGATTGAAGCTTCCTTTGTAGTTGGGTCTTTTGTTCTGATGCTAATCTGGCTCTTGAAACTGGCGAGTTCAGTGTTGCACATCTCAATGACTCAGTGAATGTTGTATGATGCCTTTCTCCATATTCCCCGTGTATACATACACCCAGCGTAAGAGAGTTGCTTTGTCCACTGGGTGTTCTCCTTGACTACCGTTTCTTTTTCCCTGAAGTTGAGTGCGGCGTTCAACCGTGAATGATTCTGGATGTTTCAGTCTGGTTTCTTGGACTTCATCATCTTTAGCAAATTGCCAGCATCGAGTAGCGACGCCAAGGTACAGCATTACGCTCACTTGTGAGCAATTTGCTACTGGTTTTCCGTGTCTTGTTTTTTTTCCCAATTGCAATTATAATGATGGCGAGATGGTCTGGTGTTTTGACTGCACTTAATAGCAAATTTTCGCAGAACTTGCCGAACGGACGCCTCTCACTCAAGGGTTTGAGGTTTCTCCACCGTTTCCCCCGATATTAATGAAACACCTTTGTGCTGCTCGTCACATTTGACGGCTGCCTTGAAGTGGAGTAATAATATATGCGACGTAGGGAGAATAACAGAATATTAATTCTTTCCCGGTCCCACTGTGACATGAGATGCTTTTAGAAAGCAAACATACCGAGGCAACAGAGCAATTACGTTTCTGCAAATCGATGAGGTTTCATCGCAACCTGGTTTTACTTACTTTGGGATGAGAGTCTGATGCGTCTGACAGCCATATCTGTTGTTATATTATTTTAAA